AACCTTTGGGAGGTAACACGGGTAGAGAGAGGAGCAAATAGCCTGACTCCCTCCATGCTCTCCACCTCAGTGGCTGCAAAGCAAGACCCCAGATTCCTCCTCTCTTTTGCACAGAAAAAGAGAAATGGGGGAGGGAGGCTTTCCAATCTCTCCCAAAGTCTAGGAAAACCTCCCAGGGACCCTGCTCATTCTGGAAATTCCTAAAGCATCTTCTGGGACCGGTAAGGCCTTAATCTGCCCTGGGAGGGTCAGCTACCCATTGGCCAGCCAGCCAGCCCAGGCCGCCTGGGGAGAGGCATTTGTGTATTAAAAGGCCACTTTTCCAGGAGAAAAGCTGTGGATACATTAAGCTGTCCCCTGTTCTTTGGAGAGCCATTATTAATGGAAAACAATAGATTAATCGTTTTAAAACGTTTGTTCAATAAGTAATTTTTATGGCTCTGGATAGAGCCCATTAAACATTTCTGTGTGTTATTATAAAGAAGTTTTAAGCGTAAAATCATAAAGTCAATAATCAGAGAATTAGTCACAGTGGCCAGCCACAGGCCATTAGTTTTAGGCGCTGTCAGAGACACCTGTGGCTTTTGAGGGAGAGTTTTCATTTCACGCAGCGCCAGGTGGGGATGGAGAAATGGCGATGCCTGCTGCCTTCCATAAACTTGAGGGGACAGCCAGCAGGTGTGAGCAGCAGGGTGCCAGGCAAATATTTACAAAGTGCAAACGTGAATGCAAAACTAAAACGATCCAGGTCAATTTGCACATCCCAGCTCAGACGCTTTATTTCCCCAGCGAGCTACCTTTCAGAGCCTTCCTCCGCCAGAGGCTCGGCCTTGATCTCTTGCTAAAGATAGCGGTGGAAGCTGCGAGCTTTTGAAAGGAAAGCGTGTCACCAGAGAATCCCACGTAGAGAGGCTGCCAGAGCTGTTTTCTGAAATAGCGCATTCATCTCCCATCAAATGCACAATGGAGTCAAGTGTTCAAAAATGAAACTGTGAGCTTTAAAAGTTCCTTGAAAATAATCATGACAAAAGCAATACAAGATGATTACAGAAACTAGAGGCAATCCAAAGGAGATAATCAAAACTTCTCGTAATCCCAGATAGGGGATTACGAGCTATCTGTGGCTATCTGTGGCTACCCACAGATAGCCCCTTTTATTTTTTGCTCATTCAACAACTGTGTATTTATTTTTTGTGACAGAGATCCACTATGTTGCCCAGGCTGGAGTGCAGTGGTGCGATCCCAGCTCACTGCAACCTCTGCCTCCTGGGTTCAAGCGATTCTCCTGCCTCAGCCTCCAGAGTAGCTGGGATTACAGGTGCTCACCACCACCTTGGGCTAATTTTTGTATTTTTGTTTATTTATATTTTTGAGATGGAGTCTCCCTCTGTCTCCAGGCTGGAGTGCAGTGGTACGACCTTGGCTCACTACAACCTCCGCCTCCTGGGTTCAAGTGATTCTCCTGCCTCAACCTTCCAAGTAGCTGGGATTACAGGCATGCACCACCAGATCCGGCTAATTTTTGTATTTTTAGTAGAGATGGGGTTTCACTATGTTGGACGGGCTGGTCTCAAACTCCTGAGCTCAGGTGATCCTCCCACCTTGGCCTCCCGAAGTGCTAGGATTAGAGGTGTGAACCACCGCATCCAGCCAGCAATGAAGAGGTTTGAACAGAGGAGAGACACAATATGCCTAAGTTTTGAACAGGATCCCACAGGCTGCTGCATGAAATATACACAACAGGGGCAATGGAGGAAGCCAGGGGACATGGGAGGAGGCAGCTGCAGTGACACAGGTTGAGGACTCACATGGGGAGGCAGGGTCGGATTCTGGATATACCTTGAATGAAGAGCCATCAGGCTTTCCTGTTGGTATAGCCTTTCCAGACTTTTTAAAATTACTGCTATTTTGGCCAGGTGCGGTGGCTTATGCCTGTAATCCCAGCATTTTGGGAGGCCGGGATGGGTGGATCACGAGGTCAGGAGATAAAGACCAGCCTGGCCAACATGGTGAAACCCCGTCTCTACTAAAAATACAAAAAAATTGGCTGGTCCGATGGTAGTGGGTTATCAGAACTTATTAACATTAGTGTCACTAAAGTTGGTATACAACCCCCCCACTGCTAAATTTGACTGGCTTTAAAAAAAATACAACAAATTAGCTGCGGGTGGTGGTGGGCGCCTGTCATCCCAGCTACTTGGGAGGCTGAGGCAGGAGAATCGCTTGAACCCGGGAGATGGAGGTTGCAGCGACCCGAGATCAAACCACTGCCCTCCAGCCTGGGCGACAGAGACTCCATCTCAAAAAAAAAAAAAAAAAAAATTACTGCTATTCTTATTCCCTCCAGGTTAGACGCTTCCAGGCAGAGCAGTTTCTATTTGTGAGTCTTATGTTTCTGACCCAGCCAGAGAAGCCGCCTCCACAGGCTCAACCTGCGTTTCTATCCGTTTCTCATTCTAGGCACCTGGAGGGCCCCTGACGGCCTGGATTCTTCTCTTGCTAAATGTGGCTACTTCCTGCATTCGACTTCAGATGGTGACTTCATTTTTCGAGCTCAATACTCAGCCTGCTTTGTGGAGAAGGAGGTGGGTTTGGGAAACTTTTTTTTTTTTTTTTAAGGGAGATTTAAGGAGCTAAGCCTGAGCTCAGATGTGAAATAAGGAGACGCTCCACTATTATGTCTCTGTAGAAACTGAGCTGAGGGAGACCAGAAGTCTCTGCCCTTATAGAGTTTATGGGCATGGATCTCAAAAGGCTGTCCAGCTCAGATGCTGCCTCTTCCAGGCAGTCCTCCTGAGACTCCCCCCTTCTCTGTGCAGAGGACCTGCTTCTATCATTGCCAACACTGACTCACAATGTGCCCATTCACACACCATCTCCTGCTAGACCTGGAGTCTCTGGGGAGAGGGAGTCACACCTACAGGCTTCCCCCAGGGCCTGGCACATAGTAGGTACTCTGTAAGTGCTTAATTAAGTGAATAAATGGAGCTGAGGAGTTGCAGAGGTTGACTGACAGCCCTCACTTGCACAGGCCCGTTATGGACTCACAAGACCATAAATTTACAGAAATAAAATTTACAGAAGTAAAATTTTTTTTTTTTTTTTTTAGACAGGGCCTTGCTCTGTCACCCAGGCTGGAGCACAGTGGTGCAATCCTGGCTCACTGCAACTTCTGCCTCCCAGGATCAAGCAATTCTCCTGCCTCAGCCTTCCGAGTAGCTGGGATTACAGGCATGTGGCACCATGCTCAGCCAATTTTTAAATATTTTTTAGTAGAGGCGGGGTTTCACCATGTTGGCCAGGCTGGCCTTGAGCTTCTGACCTCAAGTGATCTGCTACGCCCAGTTAATTTTTGTATTTTTTCATAGAAGATGGGGTTTCACCATGTTGCCCAGGCTGGTCTGGAACTCCCAGGCACAAGCCATGCTCCCACCTCGGTTTCCCAATGAGTTGAGATTATAGGCAAGAGCTACCGTGCCCAGCATTCTTGTTACTGAAATTTCACTCCAGGGGTCCTGCAAGGCGACAACCAGCCCTGCAGTTTGGCTCACAGTTTTTTTTCTTGTCTTTTCTTCCCTACCTCCACTTCCCATTTTCTTCATTTCTTTCTTTTTTTTTTTTTTTTGAGATGGAGTTTCACTCTTGTTGCTCAGGCTAGAGTGAGTGCAATGGTGCGACCTCAGCTCGCTGTGACCTCCGCCTCCCAAGTTCAAGCAATTCTTCTGCCTCAGCCTCCTGGGTAGCTGGGATTACAGGCGTGTATCACCACGTCAGCCAATTTTGTAATTTTAGGGGTTTCTCCATGTTGGACTGGTTGGTCTCGAACTCCCGACCTCAGGTGATCTGCCTGCCTTGGCCTCCCAAAGCGCTGGGATTACAGGTGTGAGCCACTGCACCTGGACTCCTTCATTTCTTTGTCCTCCCTTCCTTGACCCTGTTCAGAGTTTTTCCCAAGTGGGGCTGTGGTCTGGAGTGGGGAAGGAATTTCGGGAACTACCCTGCTCCTCTTCTTTCCCTTCCTCTCTGTGGTCATGCTTCTCTGACAGCCCCGTGAACGCCCGCCCTTCTCAGGCCCCACCGCAAAGTTTAGACTTGGGTTCTTCTTGTGTGGGTGACTGAGGGCAGCCCAGGATGGGTGGAGGGACCCATTGGTTTGACATCTTTGAAGTCCGCCTTGTACTGGAATGAGCTAGACCAGCTCTCACAGCTAGTCTCAGAAATGGCCACATGCCTTTGACTTAGTCATTTACCTTCTCTAAGCCTCAACTTCCTCCTCTGTAAAATGGGAATTTTATGTCTCATAAGCCCATCCTTGGCCGGACACAATGGCTCATGCCTGTAATCCCAGCACTTTGGGAGGCTGAGGTGGGTGGATCACTTGAGATCAGGAGTTTGAAACCAGCCTGGCCAACATGGTGAAACCCCGTCTCTACTAAAATACAAAAATTAGCTGGGCGTTGTGGTGCATGCCTGTAATTCCAGCTACTTGGGAGGCTGAGGCACAAGAATCGCTTGAACCCAGGAGGTGGAGGTTGTGGTGAGCTGAGATTGGGCTGAAATCGATCATTCCAGCCTTGGCGACTGAGTGAGACACATCTCAACAACAAAGAAGCCCAGCCTTATGAGACATTGGTGAGGGCCAAAGGAGATAAAGTGTGAACAAATGTTTGTCAACTGTCAAGGGACATTGGGATGCAAGCTCTTATTCTCTCTGACTAGGTTTGACTTTCCCCAAATCTACAAATGCTCCCCAGCCTGGAGGGTTTCATTGGTGGGGGCCGAACTTACAGACCTGGACCCAGGCTCTGAGTTGCTGTCTACCTTGGCCTCATTTCCCATCCCTCTTCCGCAAGCCCACCTTCTAGGAGGTTCATGGTACCCTATTTGCTGTGAACAGGGACTGACCTATAATTGCAGTCTACTAACTGTATTTTCCTCTCTCATTTGCACACGTGAATTTTGCCCTACTTCCAGAAAGCAAATTACAGGCTGGAAATCAGAATATTTCAGAAAGGGGTGATGAGGTTGGAGCGGAGTGATCGCTACATAATGAAGTGTCCAGTGCTAAGGTCAAGGCTGGGCCAGGAAAGCGTCCGCTGCGGGCCCAAGTTCATCCAGGTAATGGGTTCAGAAGGTCTGGGAGGTGTCAGAGGGGCCTCCCAGGCTGGGCTTATCTCTAAAGGCCAAGGCAGGTAGCTCTGGCTCCTGCACCACAGGATGTGGCCTGGGGACACAGGTGGTAGCTAGAGGTACAGTGTGGCATCGTTCTCCTAGACATCCCTGGGTACTGGCTGGGTGCCAGGTCTGCTGGGTTTGGTTCTGAGCAAGAAGGGGTGAGATGGGAGGGGAGGGGGAGATTAAAGGTCTCTGACCTCCTGTTCTGGATTTCCCATCTTGGTTGGCTCATGGGGGCCACTTGGGTTATCCCCAAAGCTGCAACAATGTATCGTTGTGTCCTTTCTCTCTGGATCGGAAACATTTGCTAGTTTGGATGCTTTTTTTTGACCTCAGTAATGTCAGAGAGTTACAGACCTCAGGTATGATCAGATGCAATGTCTACATTTTAAACATCAGAGAAGGAAGGTTGAGCCCCAGATCCAACTGTGAGCTCGTTTGTGGCCTTGCGGGCTCCTTGAATTCAAGTTTCTCTCTACCTCTCATCAGAGAGGCACCTCTTTAAGCTAAACCAGATTTGGGTGGGAGATGTTTGGAAACCCTAACATCTATAGGGACCAAACCCGCCATAGAAATGAGTGTGCCGGACTGAGGAGGCAGTAAAGAATTTTACTCATTCCTACATTTAGTCAGCTGTTTTTTTTTTTTTTTTTTTTTTTTTTTTTTTTTTTTTTTTTTTTTTTTTGTGATGGAATGTTTCTCTGTTGCCCAGGCCGGAGAGCAGTGAGTGATCTCGGCTCTCTGCAACCTCCGTCTCCTGGTTCAAGTGGTTCTCCTGCCTCAGCCTCCCAAGTTGCTGAGATTACGGGTGTGTGCCACCATGCCCAGCTAATTTTTGTATTTTTAGTAGAGATGGAATTTCACCCCATTGGCCAGGCTGCTCTCAAACTCCTGACCTCAAATGATCCACCCTTGTCAGCCTCTCAAAGTGCTGGGATTACAAGTGGGAGCCACCAGACGTTCTTTTAAAGAGACGGGATCTTGCTCTGTCACCCAGGCTTACTGTAGCCTTGACATCCTGGGCTTAAGGGATCCTCTCACTTCAGCCTCACAAGTCACTGGGACTAGAAGCGTATGACACCATGCCCAGCTAATGCTTGAATTTTTTGTAGAGACAGAGTCTCACTTTGTTGCCCAGTCTGGTCTCGAACCCCTAGCTTCAAGTGAGCCTCTCATTTTGTCCTCTCAAAGCTCTGGGATTACAGGCATGGGCCACTACACCTGGCCCAGCAAACACTTGTTTATGGCTCATTCTGTGCTGGGCACTGTTCTACTCACTTTGCAAATATTAACTCATCTAACCTTCATAGCGATTCTATGTAGTTGGTTCTATATTGATCCCCATTCTGCAGGTGAGAGAACTAAGCAGAGAGAGATTAGGAGGCTTGCCAGCTGGTAGCAACAGCGCTGGATGTTGAGCCAGCCATGTGGTGGGGGCTGGAGCACACTGGAACAGGCACAGGCTCCTGTCCTGGCCCCCCCACAGAGGGAGCTAAGGCTGGACTCCACTCCAGTCCCATTTTGCCAGATTTTCCATTTCAGGATAGACTGGAAATCTGTAACTGTATGTGAAATCCTCAAGTTTAAAAAAGTTAACTTTAATTTTGTAGGCACCGTATGGCTCAAACAAAGTGCTGGCTTTGGCCTGAGGGATTTGGGTAGGCATCTTCTGTCTGTGAGGAGGAGGAGCGGGGAAGAGAAAGGAGAGGAAGGCAGAGCGGAGAGAAGGAGGCTGGAGTGAAAAGGCTGCTGATGACAAACACCATTTATCCAACAAGCGTTTACTTATTTATTTAGAGATGGAGTCTCACTCTTTTGCCCAGGCTGGCGTGCAGTGGCGTGATCTCAGCTCACTACAACCTCTGCCTCCTGGGTTCAGGCAATTCTCATGAAATCACAGGCCACCACACCCAGCTAATTTTTTTTTTGTATTTTTAGTAGAGATGGGGTTTCACCCTTTTAGCCAGGCTGGTCACAAACTCCTGACCTCAACTGATCCACCTGCCTTGGCCTCCCAAAATGCTAGAATTACAGGCATGAGCCACCGTGCCTGGCCCTAACAAGCATTTATTGATCACCTATTGTATGCCCAGCCCTGTGCTGCTACTAAGGAAACAGATATGACCAAGACACGACACCCCAGAAAGAGCTCATGGCTTTCCTCTCATCTGGTCTGAACTCCAAAAACGAATGTGCTGTGGCCCCTGCACCACCCCAGCTCGGAAGACCTGGGCTCATCTCCGCTCTGAGCTCCACTAACTGCCATGTTGGACTTTATGAAGTTCCTTTGCTTCTCAACCCGAAGGAGGAGGGTCTGAGTGGGAGGAGCTTCCTCGTCTACCTGCTGTTTTTTTTTTTTTTTTCCTTCTTCTTTTTTCAGACAGAGTTTCTGTCTGTCGCCTAGGCTGGAATGCAGTGGTGAGATCTTGGCTCACTGCAACCTCCGCCTCCCAAGTTCAAGTGATTCTTCTGCCTCAGCCTCCCGATTAGCTGGGACTACAGGCAGGTGCCACCACGCCTGGCTAATTTTTTGTATTTTAGTCGAGACGGAGTTTCACCATATTTGTCTGGTTGGTCTCGAACTCCTGACCTCATGATGGCCCACCTCAGCCTTCCAAAGTGCTGGGATTACAGGCATGAGCCACTGTGCCCGGCCCCACCTGTTTTTATTAAGGGCTCAGAGTGGCTACGACAAAGCCCCTGTTGGTGAGCCTAAGAATTGCCAGGCCCCACCCCAGGACCCCAAGCAGGGCTGTCAGGGCACCTGTTTGACATTTCGGGGCTCATCCCTGCTCCCTCTGCACTGGGCCTGTGATTCTGGAAGCTGCCGCCAGGGGGATGGTGTTGCTGGCATCACGCGGAACTGCGCCGAATTGCTGAGAAAAGCAGAAAGTACTCCTCGCCCGCCCGGGTGCCCGCCTGGCCTCCATTGTCTGGCCTTTGAACCCCTGATGTCCCAATGCCCTAGTCCCCGGCATCCTTCACCAACTGAAGTGTGGGAGCAGGTGGGGGGGGCCTCTGCATCCCTGAACAGGGACTCACAGAGGGGGGCAGCACACAGGGACAGAGGCAGGTCTCCGCTGGCCCTGCCTCCCCTCCAGCCCCTTTGCCCATCTGAGAACCTCATCGAATTGACTGATTCATTCCTGGTGACTTCTGCAGTCGCCACTTCCGTGGCTGCACCTTGAACTTGCATTAAGTTTTAATTAAAGCCATTTCACCGGCCTTGCCCTTGGCTAAATGCAGCTGTGGGCACAGGGCACATAGATATTTAATACTCTGCCTCTCCCCACTGATGGCGCAGGGTGCCCAAGGGTGTACCCGAGCCGTGCCCTGCTCGTAGCGATCTTCGAGCTCGCTTAAGTGTGCCCACAGGCCCCGAGCGGGAGGCTGCGCAATAACTATTCATTGCCCTGGGTTAAGTGTGCCCAGGGGCACCAGTAAGCTCAATGCAGTGATTAGCGATTGCTCCCAGTGAAGGCTGCCGAGCTCCTGCGCAGTGTCCGAGGGCCCTAAATATAGCCTCCTCATGGCGACTTAAAGGGCACGCTGCATTTTGGCTGCACACTTGTCATGTCGTCCCTTCCTTCCTTTTTTTTTTTTTTTTTTGGAAACAGAGCCTCACTCTGGCCAGAGTTGCCCAGGCTGGAGTGAAGGATGCGATCTCAGCTCGCTGCAGCTTCCGCCTCCCGGGTTCAAACAAATCTCGTGCCTCAGCCTCCCGAATAGCTGGACTACAGGTGCCTGCCACCATGCCCGGCTAATTTTATTTTGTATTTTTAGTAGAGATGGGGTTTCACTATGTTGCCCAGGCTGGTCTCAAACTCCTGAGCTCAGATGGTCTGTCCGCCTCAGCCTCCCACAGTGCTGGGATTCCAGGCTTGAGCCACTGTGCCTGGCCTTCCCTTCCTTCTTTTAGCAGAACTGCTTCCTTCCTTCTGACAGCCTGGTGTCCAGGGGCCTCTCTGCCTTCCTCCCAGTTGCAGCAGGTGGGATGAGCTGGAACACCGTGGCTCAGCTTTGGGGGTGTTGGGGAATTGCCACATCCTCTTCATTCTCCTGCCAGACCTTGCAGATGTGTTCTCCATTTCTTCCACTTTGCTTCCCAAGGGAAGGCAGCCTCCCTAAAAGCAAGGCCATCACCGGACTCAGCCGAGGGGTCCCCGTGGGCTGTCCTGAGCCTGCTGCCAACATGGGCTCTCTGGGGCCAAGGGACAGCTGAGCTAGGGAGCTGGGAAGGCTGCATGGCGGTGGGGGGGACCTCCTCTTGGCCCCACCCACTCTTTTCTGCTCCTGGGAGCTCCTCTCTCTCCTTGGGAAGAAGGGGTGGGTAGCCTTGGCTGGGGGGGCTGTCAAGATGAGTCAGTCTGCTCTGGCCCCAGTCTCCTCATTCTGTATGGGGTAGGAGAAGGGGTCTGGTGGTCTCTGAGGGACCCTCTGCTGGTCTGTGATTCTGTCCAGTGCCACAACCCCCTTGCCCAGGCCTGACGCAAAGGCAAAGGGGCATTTGGAGAAAGTAGAGAGACTTGGCCGAGCGCGGTGGCTCACACCTGTAATCCCAACATTTTGGGAGGCCGAGGCAGGTGGATCACAAGGTCAGGAGATCGAGACCATTCTGGCTAACACGGTGAAACCCTGTCTCTACTAAAAATACAAAAAATTAGCTGGGCATGGTGGCACATGCCTGTAGTCCCAGCCACTCGGGAGGCTGAGGCAGGAGAATTGCTTGAACCCGGGAAGCAGGGGTTGCAGTGAGCCGAGATTGTCCCACTGCACTCCAGCCTTGGAAAAAGAAAGAAAGAAAAAAGAAAGTAGAGAGACTTGAGAGAACAGCGGGTGGGTGGCACTGGCTGCAGAGGCGTTTTGGGGATGGTCCCTTACCCACGCCATCACCTTGGGCCCTGGTCTGTGAAATGGGAGAATGATGCCACCCTTTGGGATGGTGGTGAGACTTAGGCGCAGTAGGAGTAACCACTGTCTTGGTTTGCCTGGGCCTGCCTCAGTTTTACCACTGAAAACTTGAAATCAGGGGAACCTCCCACTCCTGGGGAACTGGAATTGTTGGTCCCTCCAAGAACGGTGCCATCAGCAGGCACAGGTGCACCCTCCGGGCCTGTAGAAGTCCTCACTCTTTACTTTTGCTAGTTGGATCCAAAGTGGAAAGCAAAAGGGTGAGGAAGAAATTGGGTCTGAGGGAGAAAAACAAGACAAGAGGCCCAGGAAACATTTTGCCCCAGTGGAAGTGGGCTCCAAACAGGGTTGGTCTCATGCCCATCGGCTCTCGGCCTCACCAGCTGCGCCCAGGACCCCAGCTGCCCCTTTGGCCAGGCCTAGGGTGGCAGCTGAGGCGGCGGCACATTTCCCTACATCTGTTGACACTTGAGTCCCAGAACATAAATGATTTTCTTGTCTTAATGAGCAAACAGCCCGGCGGCACAGCTCTCTCGATGGCCTCCTGCTGCGGTAATTGCAGGCACCGATGAGCGCAGGCAGGGATGTTTGCTCTCCTTTGCTCACGGCGTGCAGGAGATGTTGCTTCCTCTCTGTCTCTGCAGGTCTCCCGGCCCCTGCCCCTGCCGAGTGACCAAGGACAGGTAGGTGGGCCCCGTTAGAGTAGCAGGAGCAACTCTTTTCGAAAGTTTCTGCCAGGCCCGGAGGGCACTTGGGTTGCTCCGAGGCAGCTTTTGAGGTCGCTTGACTCCCAGAGAGTGTCGTGGATGGCACAGACTCTTCAGGGACCAGGTCTTGCCAGCTGAAGTCTGAAGCACCCACTGGTGCCCTCCAGCCAGAGGCCTGAGGCCATCTGAGAAGAACCTTGAAGAGGAGACCCCAGCTTTGGGTGGGAGGCTGGGTTGGAAAGCTCTGAGGTCCTTCCCATGCTAAGATTCTCTCTGCCAAGTCTCCGGTGACAGGGAGCTTGTTCCTTTGTAAGGCCGGGTGTTCCACGATGCACAGTTGTTTCCCGGATTTTCCTTCTGCTGGTCCTCGGAGTGTTTTCCACAGCCTCCTGGAAGGAGCCAGTCCCTCTTCTCCATTTCACATCCCTTTGAGTGTTTGGGGTCAGTGAGGTGACCTCCCCACGTCTTCCTGACGTCCCTCTGCCAGTCCTCCTGAGATGGGAGCTGGGGACCCTTCCCTGCCCCTCTCCCCGCATCAGGCACTCACCTTTATCCAAGGCCCTGATACCCACGTCCCAATAAAGGGTGGCAAATGGAGCCAAGGACAGGACTCCAGGTGTGCCCAGCCAAGGTGGCATATGGGCTGACCGGCTGGCATTGCTGTTGGGGTAACTGTGTGTTCGTTCTTTCAGCCTCGTTGTACACCTACTGTGTGCCAAGCACCCCTGCAAGGGACCTACTCCCCTAAAGTAAAGGGTGCTAGCGTCTGGTTGACTCTCCTCCCTGAGTGGCCGCCACCCTGCCTCCTGGCCTAGCCCATCCTCCCCATGACCGTTACCTTCCTACATCTTCCCTCAAGCGTCCCTTCTCCATGACCTCTAGTGACCATGCCTCCATGGTCACATGATTTGCGAACATGTCCTGTTTCTCCAGACTCCATGGCTGCTGTCCCTTCGAGGGGAGCTGGTGGCTTCTCTTGAAGACGCCAGCCTGATGGGGCTGTATGTGGACATCAACGCCACCACTGTCACCGTCCAAAGCCCGAGACAAGACCTTCTTCAGAGGTGGGAGGTCAGTGGTGGGCAGCAGGCCCTGCCAGGCAGTGGGGGGCCCCAGGGGCATAACACCCAGAAGAGCAGGCCACCCCTCCAGTGTCAAGTCAAATGTCCACCTGTGAGACTGGGCAGATTTAGGCAGGCGCCTTCGAAAATTGGGCCCTATTAGTGTAAAGTGCTCCATGCTGCAGATGAGGGGCTCCTGCAATCATGCATTCAGCTCGTCCTGATCCTGGTGGCAGGAGTGTAATTACCAACTCTTTAAATAGCCCAAAGTTGCCGTGTAAGAGAAGATGGCTCACATGACATTTGCTCCGAGCTCGCTTCCTGCTAAAAATATCTCGGCGAAATAATATTTCCTGGTTGCATCCGCGCAAGAGTCCCTGATCTGGGCTTTGTAACACTTGGGGATTTAGTTCAGAGACGAGTTCGAAGGTGGGAGAGGGGGCCCCGGTGGAGGGAGTTTGCATCTGGAAGGAGCAGTTTTGGAGACCTCAGGGGGGACCCTCCTGCCTCCAAGGTGCTGAACACCACTGCCGAGCTCCTGCCACTATGGCTGCTGAGTGGTCACCATGCCTATTCCTTAGAAGCCGCTTGCCCACCTGGTAAGACCCAGGAGTGCCCCCGATGTCCACCTTTCTGACTTCATCACATTCTGGTCCCTGTTTTCCCCCTTCTCTGGGTACCTTCTTCCCCACTGTCTCACCCCACCTCTCCTCTCTTCAGTCCCAATCTCGGCTATGCATTTCTGAAAGAAATGCTTGGGATAAAGGGAAGTTTGCTCTTGCTGGAAGGTGCTGGGATATGTGTGTGTGGATGTGGGGTGAATGAAGTGTAAAATTGTCTCCTACAGACCTGCAGATGGGATCTGTAAACTCTTGGGAGCTCCCAGGCTGGCACCAGGGGCTCTGAGAACGGAAACGGGAGGGAGCCTGCAGCCTGGTCATACCCTCCTGGCTTCGTGATCTGAGGGCAGTGGGGACCCCTGAGCTAGACCATGTATTCGAGAACTATTTTGTTCAGCCTGGAGTGACTCCGTTGCCCTGGGTCTTATATAAAGAGGTCTGGAAACTGGAAGGCCACATCCTACCTCCGGAGAATTTAAATTCAAAGAACTTGGTGTGCAAATTTAGGTAGATCAAAGGCTTCATCCTGTGTGGGTAGCTTAGAGGTGGTTTAGGCTTTCCATTTGTTTTTTTTGTTTTTTTTTGAGACGGAATCTCAAACTGTCGCCCAGGCGGTAGTGCAGTGGTGCGATCTTGGCTCACTGCAATCTCCGCCTCCTTGGTGCAAGCAATTCTCCTGCCTCAGCTTCCCGAGTAGCTGGGACTGCAGGTGTGCGCCACCATGCCCAGTTAATTTTTTTTTTTTTTTTTTTTTAGTAGAGATGGGGTTTCACCATGTTGGCCAGGATGGTCTTGATTTCCTGACCTCGTGAGCCACCGCGCCCGGCCTAGGCTTTCCTTTTGTATGGAATTGTATCATGGACCGAGTTTCAGGATCAGCGCTCTGGGGATTTCCCGGTAGTGGCGATGACCGTGATGAGCCCCCAAACATCACTTTCCCTGCTCACGGTGTTTCAAACCCCTTCATACAAAGGCAGATGCTTCCGTTTAGTAACTGCAGAGCTGGCTTAAAATGTCCCCCCAGAGCCTGACACAGTGAAATTCTTGCTATAATGTAAACAACTGATAGAGTCTTCTTCTTTTTTTTTTTTTTTTTTTTTTTTTTGAGATGGAGTTTTATTTTTATTGCCCAGGCTAGAGTGCAGTGGTATGATCACGGCTCACTGCAACCTCTACCTCCTGGGTTCAAGTGATTCTCCTGCCTCAGCCTCCTGAGTAGCTGGGATTACAGGTGTCTGCTACCACGCCCAGCTAATTTTTTGTATTTTTAGTAGAGATTGGGTTTCACCATGTAGGCCAGGCTGGTCTCAAAATCCTGACCTCAGGTAATCCACCCGCCTCGGCCTCCCAAAGTGCTGGGATTATAGTTGTGAACTACCGTGCCTAGCCTAGAAGCTGTATTTCTTCCTTCCCTTCCTTCCTTCCTTCCTTCCTTCCTTCCTTCCTTCCTTCCTTCCTTCCTTCCTTCCTTCCTTCCTTCCTTTCCTGCTTTCTTTCACCTCTCTCTTTCTTTCTTTTTTTAGTATATGTGCTGCAGAAGCGAGCACTCTTTCTTTCTTTCTTTTTTTTTTTTTTTGAGACTGAGTCTTACACTGTCGCCTGTGCTGAAGTGCAGTGGTATAATCTTGGCTCACTACAACCCCTGCCTCCCAGGTTCAAGCAATTCTCTTGCGTCAGCCTCCCAAGTAGATTGGATTACTGGTGCCCACCACCATGCCTGGCTAATTTTTTGTATTTTTAGTGGAGACGAGGTTTCACTATGTTGGCAAGGCTGGTCTCAAATGCCTGACGTCCTGATCCACCCACCTCAGCCTCCCAAAGTTCTGGGATTACAGGCGTGAGTCACCGTGCCTGGCCTAGGAGCTGTATTTCCTAAGAGCTGCTTTGGAAATAGAAGGGGCACTGGGCTGGGGCACTGGGCTAGGTCACTGAAGCCAAAGACAGTCTCAGTAGAGACATTTCTGCAGCTTCCCTGCTGGCATCTGCTTCCTGAGAGGTCTTTGCAAGTGGCAAGGTCCATCGGGGGTTTGGGGATGGTCTTTTTTCTTCTCTCCTTCATCCATGCAGCTCCATTTCAGCACAGGCAGTGACACCAGGACACCAAGTAACTTGCTATCACTGACTCGGGGTGTGCTGTGCTGGCTACAGGTGTGGTCCCTGGCGAAGGCCCACCACTGCTTACTCATCCACGAGCCTGCAAAGTGTGTCTTTTTCTGTGTCCTGTGTCCTTCCTATTCCAGTGTCATCCCAACCAGAGTTGGAGGTCTTGGTTCACATCCCCAAGCAGAGACTGGGTCTGGTCAAAAGAGGTTCCTACATTGAGGAAACCCTGAGCCTCCAGTTCCTCCAGGTTCACCAGTCTAACACCTTCATGGTGACTGAAAACAAGGACTTTGTGGTGGTCAGTATCCCAGCGGCCAGGGTGCTCCAGGTCCAGGTGAGTATCTGGTGGCATCTCTGTCTTGTCCCTTCTTTTCCCGAGACCCTTCTTCTTAGGCCACCGATGCGATGTGTGGTCAGATATGTGGAGGGTAGGCCTGTCACGGTGGCTTAGGCCTGTAATCCCAGCACTTTGGGAGGCCGAGGTGGGAGGGTCACTTGGGCCCAGGAGTTCAAGACCAGCCTGAGACCCCATTGCTACAAAAAAATTAAAAAATGAGGTATGAGGATTGCTTGAACTTAGGGGGTTGAGGCTGCAATGAGCTGTGATTGTGCCACTGCACTCCTGCCTAGGCAACGGGAGTAAGACCCTGTCTCAAAAAATAAAAATAAAAAAGAAAGAAACGTGGAGGGTGGATCTGCGGCTCTGGCTGAAGATGGATTTCACCACGTTTGCCCCTCAGGCCCATACTCTTACCGAGGTAGCCCCATCGGGGGCAGCCACAGGGCGCTGGATGCTGCCTGCCATGTGAAACTAATTTCTTTACTTTTTTTGAGACAAAGTCTCGCTCTGTCACCCAGGCTGGAGTGCAGTGGTGCGATCTTGGCTCACTGCAATCTCCGCCTCCCAGGTTCAAGCAATTCTCCTGCCTCAGCCTCCCGAGTAACTGGGACTACAGGTGCGTGCTACCACGCCCTGCTAATTTTTTGTATTTTTAGTGGAGATGAGATTTCACTGTGTTAGCCAGGATGGTCTCAATCTCCTGACCTCACGATCTGCCCGCCTCGGCCTCCCAGAGTGCTGGGATTACAGGCGTGAGCCACCGCAGCCGGCCAATGTGCAACTAATTTCTTGTGGCCTCACAGCAATGCTGGAAAATCGGAGGAACCCCAGGAACACAAGCTTTCTATAGGGTAGACCTGAGCCTGGAATTTGCCGAGATGGCTGCCCCGGTCCTCTGGACGGTGGAGAGCTTCTTCCAGTGCGTGGGTGAGTGAGCCACCATGAGGGTGTGACTGCTGGTAACATAACAGACACACATTGCACAAACCCTCTTTCCTTGGCCCCGGGGTTCTTTCTTCTGTGACAGCGTTTCACTCCCTGGGCCCGACAGGTCCCACACCTACAAGGTAAGTGAGGAGTCAGACATGCTGGCTGGAACTGGCAGGGTCAGGAAAACTGAGTGGCTATGCGGTTCCTGGCCCTGCAATCTGCCAGACAGGGGACCAGGAGGCGGATGGGGTGCATCCATTTCCTAACCAACTGCACCACCTCAGTGAGTTACTTAGCCATGTTGAGCCTCAGTTTTCCCATCTGGAAAATAGGCATACAGTACCGGTTTTGAGGATTGAATGAGATGAGGGGAATGAACAGCTTAGAAGAGTGAGCGGCTGGTGCAGAGGAGCTGTTTCTATTTACCCACTCTCTCTGCGTGGGCTCCAGTTCCTCGGGTCACTTGGTAGACAGATCAGTGCCCTTGGCAAAGAGCACGACACGATGCAACTTTTTTCTCGGCTCGAGAGGAACCTTCTTCTAAACGTGGTATGCGCCTTCATGCCAGGATGCTGGGATGGGGTTTTTGGCGAAAGTTCTGCTAACGGACAACCTGGTATTCACACATGCAAACCCGCCAGGAGGAAAACGCATTGAAATACAGCACAAGGAAATACACATAATCCACAAATGATGTTGATCACTTTCATCTTATACTTCCTAACTGTCCTCAATCGAAGACAGACGCGAAGGAGATTTGACTCAGATGTTAGTAGTGCAAGTATGCCCTGTTAGCAGGATATGATGTTTTGGGGCTGCATAAAAATATAATTATATTCAGAACTATATTTAAAGATTAAAAGGGGGACTGCCTACCACAGCTAGCCCCAAATTCAGAATTAGAAACAAAGAAAAAGGCGGGATGGGGGGGGGTGAGTTCTGACAGTCTGCTAAAAATGGAAATGTTTCTTGAAAGTTTTTACACATTTCGGCTGTTTTTATTTTAACAGTTTCCTACAGCAATGACATTGATCTTGGAAAGGGAGGGCTAGAACGTTATCCAACAAATATTCACTAGGCAGTCGCGGTGTGTGAGGCCCCACGCAAGGCTTAGGTGGGAACAGAGGCTGCTGGATTTGGTTCTTGCTCTTAATCAGCATCCAGTCTGGAAGGGGAGATAAGAAATGCCCAGAGAAAGGCCGGGCATGGTAGCGCATACCTGTAACCCCAGCACTTTGGGAGGCCAAGGTGGGTGGATTATCTGAGGTTAGGAGTTCGAGACCAGCCTGGCCAACACAGTGAAACCCCGTTTCTACTAAAAATACAAAAATTAAGTCAGGTGCAGTGACTCATGCTTGTAATCCCACACTTTGGGAGGCTGAGAGGGGAGGATCCCTAGAGGCCAGGAGTTTGAGATTAACTTGGACAACATGGCGAAACCTGTCTCTACTGAAAATACAAAAATTAGCTGGGTGTGGTGGTGCATACCTCTTATCCCAGCTACTTGGGAGGCTGAGGTGGGAGAATCACTTGCATCCGGGAGGTGGAAGTTGCAGTGAGCTGAGATCACGCCACTGCATTCCAGCGTGGGCGACAGAGCAAGACTAGTTTCAAAGCAAAAACAAAAAACAACAAAAAAGAAATGCCCAGAGAATTATGAGGGCAGGTGGACTCAGGAGAGATGCCAGAGAGTAGATGATCCTTATCCTGGGTTTTGCTGAGAGGGGAAGTCCTTGATAGGAAGGTCCAGAATATAATGTATAAATAGATCAGCAACAGCGATAGAAACATTTTAGGGAGAGTTTTTTGGCCTCTCTGGAAAGATTTACACGGGAAAGAATTCTCTCTTTCTCATTTTGTTAATTTAACATCAGCCACCAGAATGAACCTCTCCCCTCCCTGGTTCCCGGCACACCTCCCCTGCAGTCTCCCTCAGCTTCGAGGTCTTTCTGTTCTTATTATAGTTATGGGTGCATGCCCCTGTCTCTCCCTCTGGCATGAATTCCTTCAGATCAGGGGCTGTGCCCTGTTCCACTTCTCATTCTCGATGGGCCTTATCTTGCCTCCTTGCCCTTGGGAAGCATGTCAGAAATGCTTGTGGGCTTGAATTTTCACCAGGAATTTAAAAAACTGTTTTACACGGATAGCAATTTTCTTTTGTAAATATGTGACTAGTGTGTTGGAATATTAGTATGTTGGAATTGCCTAAACTCCCCACGGTTAGAGATTTTTTAAAAAATCTTCCTCCTCCCTGATCTCATAAGTAAGTAGAACCTGTGGGACAAATTCTAATTATTTAAATGTCTGGTCTGGAGAAATCTAGGACTCCAGGTGGGAGGTCTGTGAAATTCAGCCCATGGACATTTCCCAACCCAGGGCTCAAATCTGACCTCTCCAAGCTTCCATTGCCCACCTGTGGAAAGGGGTCACTCACGGTCTCTTCAGTAGGGTGTTGGGAAGATTTTGCTTCCTTAGGAGGAAGGTTGACCTCTGCCTTCTCTCTGGAAGGTTCAGGAACAGAGTCGCCTGCCTCAACTGCCGCACCGAGGACCACTCCCTCCCCACCACCCCCAGGACCAGAGACCCCCCCAGTGGGAGTGCCATCTGCCACCACCTCCCAGGTGCGGGCTGCAGGACCAAATGCCCAAAAATGGCTTTCTCGGGAATTCCCGCACCAGCCTTCTGATGAGCCGGCCGAGGCAAGTCCATGGCTGCGTCCTCTGCCCACGGTTTCCTCCAAAGGGTCGGGTCCCCATAGGTATTGGTAGATCCAGCTGAGCCTGAGGCCACTCTCTTTCACCACCGTTCTTCCAAAGAGAGCCTCACTCTGATCCCCAACCATGTCACCTCCTCGAATTCAGAATGTTTCTCAGAGAAAACTGGGTTCCCAAGAGCCCCCGCCTGAGGGCAGCCCCCCCATCGGTGGGTCTGGATCACAGCAGCCTCCCAGGGCCTTGAGACACAGCCAAAGGAGGCAGCAGGAAGGGGGTCAGCAGCTATGTACACAAACGGAGGGAGGGAAACTGAGGCACACCAGAGGACTGGAGACCCAACGGTCACAGCTTCAGCTTCCTCCAGCTCTTTTTTTTTTTTTTTTTTTTTGAGATGGAGTCTCGCTCCGTTGCTTAGGCTGGAGTGCAGTGGCATGATCTTGGCTCACTGCAACCTCAGCCTCCACCTCCCAGATTCAGGAGATCCTCCTGCCTCAGCCTCCCGAGTAGTAGCTGGGATGATAGGTGCAAGCCACCACACCTGGCAAATTTTGTATTTTTAGTAGAGATGGGGTTTTGCCACGTTGGCCAGGCTGGTCTCGAACTTTGACCTCAAGTGATCCACCTGCCTCAGCCTTCCAAAGTGCTGGGACTACAGGCATGAGCCATTGCACCTGGCCCCTCAAACCCATCTTTGGGCTGAGATCCTCAGAGCAGCCAGAGCCGATGTCCTCTTGTTTCTGATGCTTTTTCTCTCTCCACTTCTCTCTCTCCAAGAAGGGGCTTGGACCGTTCCTACAAACGGCCAAACCTGCGAGAAGCCAGACATCTGTCTCCGTTTTCCCCAGAGTGATGCAAGCTCAGCGAGGTCCCCAGACTCCTCCAGGGGAAGCAAGGCTTCCTGGACACCCCACGCCTCCAGCCACGCTCCCCTCAGAGCCTGTAGAGGGTGTGCAGGCTGGCCGCCAGCGGCCACATGCAGTCTCGTCAACTTACCTAGCTCTGGCCCTGCCCATGCCCTCAGACGCCTCCTCCCCTCCACCGCCAGCCCCAAGGCCTGGACAATCTGAATCACTCCTAGTCTCGGGGCCATCTGTCACCCTGACTGAAGGTCTAGGAACTGTGAGACCTGAGCAGGACCCCACCTGGCCTCCAGGAAGTCCCCTCCTGCTGAGAGGGCTGGCATGGGGACATGTGGCCGCGCCTGAGCCTGTCTTGGGGGAGCCTGACCGAGCCAGAGAGGAGTTCCAGCCATTGACGAGGCCCTGGCGGGCCAGGCTGGCCGCAGCGGTGCTGATTCCCCACCATTCCCCCGGAGAGCTGCGGGAAACGTCCTCTAGAACAGAGGTGGAGGGGCTGCGCCAGACCAGGCCTGGTCTCCCCAGGGAGGGGGCCAGGGAGCACCTGGACCCGTCATCCTCAGAACCAAGCCAGAACACAGAGGGGCTGGGACTCCCCATTCTGCCAGGGACGGAGGCCACATTCTCCACCTCAAGGGTGAAGCAGCCAGACCCCAGTGCCTGTGTGGACACCTCGGAACCCGCGCTCACCGGGACGCCCGGGGTGAGGCTGGCAGTGCCCCTGGCGGTTCTCCCTATGGAACCTCTGCCAGCAGAACCCATTCACCCGGCAGCTCTTCTGACACCCAAAGCCTCATCTGCAGGAGGGCCAGACCAGGCTGGAGACCTGGAGTCAGCCCCCAGCTGGCCAGTGGGCCAGGAGGAGTTGGGGTTTGCACACACATCCAGCCCCCTGTCCACGCGAACTCTGAGCCTGTGGGCTCCCACAGAAACATCACCACCCAGCCTGGTGGAGCGTGGACACCCCTTCCAGGCTGGCCAGGGGGCCCCACCCCAGCAGGAGCTGACGGAGCCCACCTTGGCCCCCAGGGCTGAAAGCCACAGGCCTCCTGAGCTTCAGGACAGTGTGGAGGGGCTGTCTGAGAGGCCCCCATGCTGAGCCTCCGTGGAGACTCCAAGGTGGGTCCTGGGTGCACCCTGGGGAGGTGGAGGGCAAATGGTGAGGCAGTGATGGGTCGGCCTGGAGGTGGGGGTGGGGCATCTTTCCAGGAAAGCACTGGTGCCCTTCTAGCCCATGTCACGGTGCTCAGCCACAGCTGGGCATCCAGGCCAGGGAGTCCAGGGACACTGGGTTATTGAGAGTCACCGGGGCCATCCAAGCCAGCAGAATTCCAGCTGCTGCCATGGAAACCAGAGGAAGGGAGTGGTGACATGGTGGGCCGCCTGCCTGCGTGGACCTCCCCGAGGGAAGAGATGCTGAGGGCAGGGCAATGTCCCTGGTCTCTACTTGGCTCAGCCAACTGCGCTTCTGGGCTTGCTGTGCGGTCAGAGGTGAAGAAGCCCCCGGGTAAGGCGTAGGCTCTGCAGCCCGGCCTGCCGGGAGCTAGGGGTCAAGGCCCAGCTCCTCTGCTCTTTGGCTGTGTGACCTTGGCAAGGCACTCACCTCTCTGAGCCTCAGTTTCCTGACGAGGCAAAGGGGGATGGTAATGGTTTCTCTCGATGGGGCTGTTGAGGGGTGGATGGGAAGGGGATGTAGACCATTCGGCATGGAGCCGGACATCCAGCGTGCCCAGAGCTTGAGAGGCTCTCTTCTGGTGATCATTCCACCGTCCACCTCCCGGCCCAGGCAGAGGGGATGTTGCAGGGCCCAGGAGAGGATGGAGGGCCTGAGCCGTGGTCCAGACACCTCTGGGGGTTGCTGGTGATGGTGATAGGAACCCTTGGTGTTTCCTTCCCCAGGCCTTGGGGGGCCATGATCCCAGGTCTCTGAAGGACTCCAGGGGAGGAGAACACGACAACACTGCCTTGTTTTCATTACTCACCACTCCCTTCCTCTGGTTCCATGGCAGCAGCTGATACCCCGCCGGCTTGGATGCCCCAGTGACCCTCAGTGCCCCCTTGCCCCCGGGCTTCCTGGCTTAGAGGCCCAGCTGTGGCTGAAGAGCACTCACTCGGTGCTTCCCTGGAAAGGTGCCCCCCAGGTCCCCCCCAGCCGCCAGGCCAACCCATCACTGGAAGTGGGATTTGAAATGCAGCCAAGAAGAGGAGGCCGTCGGCAACGCCCGCCCGGAACGAGAAACAAATAAATAAATAAATAATCAGGGTTGTCTTGGCTGATAAACGGTCCCCACCTCGAAGAAGACTTCTCCCCGCACTGCATTCTCTCCCCCCTCGCCAGGCAGATCCGTCCCGGGCAAAAGCTTAATAGCCCCATTTAAGGCTTTTCCTTTTCACCACGAGATTGAGCCGCTCCTGCCATTACGAGGTTTTCAGCTTCTCTCTGAAATCAAATTACTGACTCCATTTAATTTTTTAAAAGCTCAGATGATTTCCCTGCTCGAATCAGAGCCGTGACTCCAAAGCTGGCCCCCCACCAGCCCTACTAGGCGGTTACCCTGTGGGCAGCTGCTGCCCGGGACAGCGGCCCCCACGTCAGGGCAAGCCTGACACCTAGAGGGAAGGCCAGCGGGAGGAGGCCCGAGTCTCTGGCCGTCACCCTGGACCCTGGGCAGGGTGGCCTGGGCTGGAGGAGGCCCACAGGAGCCCATGGCTGGAGGCTGGATGATCTTCGAAGACTGGTGGGGTCAGTGGTTAGAGCCCAGCACTGATGTCATAGGCCCATGAGGGAGGATCCCTGGCCCCCCCGCCTCAATTGCCTTCCCACAGTGTCAGGCCCTGGTCTGGGGGATTGGAGACTGATAAGAAACACATGAGACAATTTCAGACGATACATCCTGCTCTGAAGAGGAGCAAGCAGGCAACTCAGGTGCGGGCGGGTCGAGAGCTGCTTCGGGTGGGAAGGTCGGGTGGGCCGCTTTGAGGAGGCTACCAAAGAAAGAGCTGGGGGCGGCATCCAGGCAGAGGGACAGAAGAGCAAGCGCCCTGAGGAGGGCTGGAGGGACCGAGAGAAGGCCGTGGGAGGTGGTGGGGTGAGCAAAAGAGTGCAGTGGGGGGAGGAGGATGGGTCTGCACGTCTTGCAGGCCCTGCCAGGAGCCCAGATTTTATTTTGGCCTCGACGGGGCATCCGACAGGGGCCTTTGGTACAACAGGGGCCTTTTAGCAAAGCAGTAGCCTTGGGTAGATGCTTGGAAAGGCTGGCTGGAGAGTGGACATCAGATGGACAGAGCCGCAGCCCACTGAAAGGAACGGTGACTCAAAGGGTCTCCTCTTTGAGGGCTTGTGCCACTTCCACACCTGTGTCCAGGTGACGCAGGGGAGGTGGCTGGGTGATGCTGGAGACAGGACGCATCTTTTCTGTCAACACTGGCTGTGGCGTTTCTCCAGGAATCAGTCTCTGTGTCTCTCTGCCTCCTCCCCTCCACCTCCATCCACCCCTGCCCCTTCTCCATCCCTGTAGTGCCCCCCAGCTTTGGGACAGGGCAGACCAGGAGCACACAGGCGTGAGACAGTCCTGTAAACCAGGGCTGACCCTTTACCATGTCCCCCCCTGTTTAACAACCACCCTGCGCCCTTGGAGATGAGACAGAGGGAATGGAGTTAATGAAATCACCAGCCTTTACCTGGCATAAATGGCTCTTCACCCCCAGGTGGGCAGCGATTTGCAAGGCTGAGAGGGTCTGGGCATTAACTGTTCTGGGCACTCTTCCCAGCTCACCGCTCCGTGCAGCTGGAACAAACCACTTTACTTCTCTTCCTTCCCCCTGCTTCGCTCTGTACCCTCTCAAAAGCGGGGTGGTCATGCTTAATTAGAAAGGGCTAGGGGTTCTCGGGAAGGCTCCTATTCCCTCTCCAGATGGGACAACCCCAACTCTGTGACCAGGGCCGACCTGGCTGGCACCCATGCCTGATCCCGGGGCATGCACGGTATGGCCTCTGCCTTTGGGATGTCCGGTTTTGCTGTTGAGACCTCCCAGGGCTTGCAGACATTTATTTATGGCTGACACGTCTGTGATCAGTGACATCCTGGCAGGGGCAGCTCTTTCCCTTAGGGTCAGCGGCTGCCAAGAGGTCTCAGACAGCCCGGGCTGTTCCAGGTGCTTAGGCATCACTCGGTGGCTCCCCGCCCCCAGCGGCTCGGATTCTCATCCTTCATCCCCTGAGTCTGCATGAAGTCCAAGGATAGGCAGCATCTGTCATACTTTTCTCCCGCCACACGGAGCAGCTGGAGCAGGTCCAGGTTCTCTTTCGGGTGTTCCTTCTCCAGCACAAAGCCTTTCACTCCCTTCAGCATCCAGGCTCATTGTTTTTCCCTGGTTGAAGGTCTTGAATTCCCAGATTTTTTTTTTTTTTTTTTTTTTTTTTTTAGACAGAGTCTTGCTCCGTTGCACTGGCTGGAGGGCAATGGCACAATATTGGCTCACTGCAACCTCCGCCTCCTGGGTTCAAGTGATTCTCCTGCCTCAGCCTCCTGAGTATCTGGGATTACAGGTGCACATCATCACGTCCAGCTAAGTTTTGTATTTTTAGTAGAGATGGGTTTTCACCGTGTTGGCCAGGCTGGTCTTGAACTCCTGACCTCAGGTGATCCACCACCTCGGCCTCCCAAAGTGTTGGGATTACAGGCGTGAGCCACTGCGCCTGGCCGCCAGATGTTCAGTGCTTCCCACAGCAGACTTCATGTCACAACACACTCTTCCAGTCTTCACTGCACATCTCTGTTGAGTATTTGTTTTTGTTTTTGAAGCAAGAGCCTCCTCTGTCACCTAGGCTGGAGTGCAGTGGTGTGATCATGGCTCACTGCAGCCTCCACCTCCTGGAGTCAAGTGATTCTCCCACCTCAGCCTCCCTCATAGCTGGGACTACAGGCACACACCACACGTGGCTAGCTTTAAAAAGTGTTTGTTTTTTTTTTGTAGACATAGGGTCTCGCTCTGTCTCCAACTCCTGGGCTCCTCCTACCTCAGCCTCCTAAAGTGCTGGAAGGCGTGAACCACTGTGCCCAGCCCTTCGGTTGGGTATTTGAATACTACTTAAGCTGGAATTGTAGTTTTCAATTTGGTAATCCTCCCAGTTACTGTGTAACCAGAGAGGCAATGTGGTTGGGAAGGGCTTTCTTCTGGGGGTCTGGAGGCCAGATCTGTCCCCCCAAGCCATGTGACCTTAAGCTAGTCAGTTCACTTTCTAAGCCTCAGTTTTGCTGTTGGGCTGTTTGGAATCCAAAGTGAATGGCCTAGCAACCTCTGATGCAGGAAGACCCCCGGGCCGTCCCGTGCAGATGGGAAGTTCTGAGTCCCTCATGCAGCCCGGGAAGAAACTCTCTCTTTTGAGGGTCCATCCTCCCTAGCTCAGCCGCCTGACACCTCTAGGTCTCACAGGTTTGGTCTCTGGGGTTGGGGGCTGCCGGAGACATCAAGCCAAGCCAGGTGGGAGGACAAGATGGGACGAAATGGACAGAGGCTCGTTCCTATGCAGCCAGCCAGAGCCCACGTGTGGCCTCCACAGATGACCTCCCACTTGCTCCTGGGTCCTTTCCCGAACAACCGGGTTGAGCCATTCCACATCCTAGAACTCAAATCTCTCAGTGGAGCCACCAAACGGTGGTTCTCAAAGTAGGGTCCCTGGAACAGCAGCTCTTCCCACCCCCACCTGTGCCCCGTGCTTGTTAGAAATGCAAAAGAGTCTTATACAAAAATTAGTCAGGTGTGGTGGCATGAATTTATAGTCCAAGCTACTCAGGAGGCCGAGGCAGGAGAAATGCTTGAACCCGGGAGGTGGAGGCTGTAGTGAGCTGAGATCGTGCCACTGCACTCCAGCTTGGGTGAGAGAGCGAGAATCTGTTTTAAGAAAAGAAAAAAGAAAAAAAAGAAATGTAAATTCTTGGGCCCCACTCCAGACCTACAGATCTGGAAATTCAGGGGGTGGTGCCCGGCGGTCTGCGGGAATTAAGCCATCCAGGGGGTTCTGATGCCCCATTGTGTACATTGGGAAGAGCTGCATGAGACAATCTGCGAGGGACGTCCCCTCACGCAGAGAATGTCACAGCCTCCATAACAATAGCAACACGTGACTCTCATACACCCCCCAAGTGCTAGCCACCCCCCTCTGTTCACTGCACACAGCACCATGCCTTCCAGGGAGAAAAGAATTGTCCTTCCCATTTTACGGAGGA